ACTTTTTATATAAGCTAATTAATTATAATATTAATTAATTTATATATTTATTATTATAATTTAAGTATCTTATTAGATTTATTATTAATTATTTAAGCTTTTTTAAAAAATAAAAATATAGTTTTCTTATTAATACTCTGCTTATAATAACCTGCCGCATGGTAGCGTTGAGCCCTTCTCTTAAATACCGTCGTTCCCTTCTCGTCCGATACGAATTGCTAATAGTGGAGAGGTGTTAGATGATAAGTTGATAACTACAGCTTGGCTCGATTAATGCGAGCGTCGCGGGGAATCAGATATCGGGCACGACCTTGCACTCCGTGTTGAAGTCCCTCTCAACTATGGACAAGGCCCAGCTCCAGATAAAGCTCAAGGATATCAAGTATCTGATCATCGATGAGAAGAGTATGCTAGGACTGTAACAGCTAGCTAGATTAATAACCGTCTTTATAAGGCATTCCTAAATAAAAATAAGAAGTTCTTTAATAATCTTAATATTCTTGTCGTTAATAACTTCTTTTAGCTTTTACTCGTATTATAAAAGCCGCTCTATTATAATAAAGAGGTTTAAGAAGTAAAGACTAAAGGTAAAAACGCGTATAAACGCATTAATAAATTAATCTTCTTAAAGGTTATTTAATAGTAGTAAGGTAATACTTAAAAGGTATTTCGTATAACTCTTAAGGAATTATAGCTTCTTTAACTATTAATTGAGTTTTAAAAACTTTAACTTAAGTATAAGTAAAATTAAATAATTAAGAGATTATTAGGTTTATTAACGCCTTATAAATATACGTAATTAAAGATAAGGTAAATAAATATAATTATTGATAGGTTAATTATTTAAGTTAAGGCTAAAAATATTAAATATAATACTACTATAACTTCTAATAATAAGGTAAGTAACCTTATAAAGTAAATTTCTATATACGTTAGCACTTATTTAATATTAACGTTTAACCTTTAATAGCTAATTAGCCTTTATAATAGCGCTTATAGTACTATGTATAATATAAGCTAAATACTAGAGGTTAACTTAATTTAAAACGCTTCTTATATTATTATAATAGAGTTTAATAAGTATAATAAGCTAGTGTTCTTAACTACCCCTAATAGCAGGACAATTATCCTAATTCTCCTAGTAAACAGGGACTTCCTTATTAAAAGCACTCTCTGCACTCGCACCTAGTTTCCCCTAATCGTATGCTACGCTATTACTATTCACAAGTCGCAAAGCATCACTAAAGATGTGGCTGTTACAGATCTCTCCTGTAGGGACTTTCAGACTGGATTGAGCTACGTAGCTGTCTCTCGCGTGAAAACCACCCAGGGCCAGTATGTTCCACATAGAATGCAGCCGAAGAAGAGACGCCACTGACCACGCGTGACAGGATGCTTACAATCGACAATCTCGCGTGGGGGAAGAGCTATAAGCTGCCTGACGATTGGGTTGAGCGGATTTCGGCGTTCCGCTGCACAGCGTGAGAGGTGTCGGTGTATCAAGAAAGCAAGGGGCATGGTTCGAGTGTTGCCGACATGCGCACATCTCCATGATTGACTAATTGGGGGCTTTGTACAGAGTACACGGACGAGTATTGAACATAATGATAAACTCCCCGTGTTATGATTTAGTGCCATGCGCATAAATGCTCTCGTGTACAGTAACACACATTCCCATTCTGGACCCTTCGGTTATGCCGCGTTTCTTTTTGTTTACTTTGCTTTTCCGCTATTCTTTACTTTCTAATTGCACTTTTTCCACCTTCGTCTTTTTTTAACAGGCAATTCAAGTTCACCTGCTCTGATGGGGTTTACCAAATCGTCATCGAGAAGTAAGTACCCGTGTTAATACTCTCTTGCTGCGACTCTATCCCACGCACAACCACGAATGCATGAATCTTATTCTACGCCCCAGAAGGTCTCAGCCTCGCGTCAAGCCCCGTAGGCCGGAACAGGCGTCTGCTCTCCCGGCCTCTTCAACGTCTTTTCCAGGGCATCAAAAACGATGGCCTCGGCCCTGCTCAACTCGTCCAGCAGGCCATGGCGTTGGTGTTGCCCAGGAAGCCACCACGGAGCCACGTAATTTACCACCATCTCTAGCCAATAGTTTCTGTTCCAAACCTCGCGGTCCATGGACCCGGCTGGAGTTGCGATTCCATGCTCCTCCAGCCGTTCCTGGTACGCCGCGTACAAAGCCGCCGGCCAGTCGGCTCTGTTGTCGATGCAGTCGTTCAGGAACTCCTCCATCGGGTGGAAGAAGCCCGCAAATTCAAAGTCGACAATGCCAGTTATTTGCGGCGGCTGGCCAGATACGAGGACGTTGCGTGGCGTCAGGTCGTAGTGAGTAAAGACAAAGAGACCGGATTGCTTCTGCGGCGGCATCAGCGTCATGTCCGGGAGCTGGTTATCGACGAAGTTTTGAAGAATCGGCGGTAGGTGCCTGTTGGGAGCGTATGTGTCCTTCGTGGCGAGCTCTCTCATCTTTTCTGCCAGCCGGACCTTTTGATATGCGTTTACTGTTCGCAGCGGCTCCGGCGGTTCGACGCTGTCCATGACGATGCCTTGGATAGTGATGCCGTGTGTATCTTTATCGTCGCGGCAAAGTTTGAGGTTGCCGCAGTGTGACTGGGCGGGAATGTTGCGTCGCCAGTCTGCGGCAATGTCTGCCATTGGCCGGCCCAGGGCTCAGCACGAGTAGTCGTCCAAATCAGCCACGGGCACGGTGACGCCGGGGACCTTTGTGGTCACTATCCATCCACCGTGTCTGTGGGCGTCGTTTTGCTGCGCTGCTGCTCTTACGTCGTCGATCTGACCCGTTGTATAAGGGGTTGTGAATATGGCGGCTTGGCCGTCCTCGGACCAGGCGAGGACTCGGGGAGACGGTATTTGGGGGCAGTGTTTTTCTGATTGCCGCAGACAGGCGACTTCGTTTTGGACTTTGGCTGGCCCGAAATATCGTCCGTTGATTTTCAAAACGACCTCCTCTGTCGTGTTGTCAGCCTGGAGGAAGTATATGCGGTTGTTGAACGAGTCGCATGTCGAAACGGCCGAGACATTGGTCAACTTGGATTGAGGAAATGCAGAGTCGACAATGGCTTCCATTTCCTCGCGAGACATGGCCACGCCTGCATTGGGTTGATGAGGTGGCGTTTGCAGCCGTGGTATTATGTCTGGCTGGTTACCCATGACGATTGATAGATACGGCTCGTTGGAAGTCGTTAGGATAGGTGGATGTAAACTTGGGCACGAAGAGAGGCTATGGAGTGTAGAATACTCGTGGTGAGACCAGCTAACTTCCTGCAGCCCGTGTCTTTTTGTAGTCGATATTTCAATGCGCTTGGGGATACAGAGTAGGGGAGAGCAACACAAGCGTGACTCATCCGGCCTGCCTCAGCAACGTGAACCGGACAGCATGCACAAGCGGAAATACGACGGCAAGGTTCTTAGATGATTTTGGGCCAAAACTGTTCGTAGATACATTTAGTGGGTAGCGTATTCTATTTGGTTACTCGATATTTCGAAGATTGAGGCATGAGCATGTCGGATCAGTTCCTGGGCTTCCGTTTCTTGCCCATCTCACCCATTCCTGAAGAGTGTACTCGATCTTCACTTGAGTGATGGCCGAAACCTTGAGTTCTGGTTTGTATGAGACGGGTCCTGCGCCAATCAAATACATCCCGCGGCATCCAGATCTGCTCCTCTAGGCCAAGACCGCGCCTCTCGACCTTGACCCCATTAGCATTCTGCGCTTTCCCACTGTAGAATGCATGTAGCATGTTCTTCTTATTGCATTAACCTTGATTCTATACGGAGATCACGTAGTAATGTAGGCACGGGCCGTCCCTTGAACCTGACGATAGTTACACGAGGGCTCGAGACCTAGCTGAGGCCTTGGGCCCCAGGCTCGCTTGGTCACCGCTGCTATGTATAAATAAGGGGCATCTGCCTCCAGCGGCCTTGAGAGTACCAAGGACCTCAAATGGTGAAGCGAATCATTGGCTGAACCGAATATTGTTCCAAGCGCTTTATAACCAGCCTTTGTCACACATGTGACGAGGGACGGCTTGGAGCAATAGCTTAATGCAACTAGATTCATCGGCTCTAGTATCTAAGGTCCTTGGTTTCCCCTAGACCTTTGTTCTCGGCCACGTGCTCTAATTCTTGATGACCCTCATTTCGTGTCACTATCGTGACCTCCTAGCAGCTGCCACATCTTGGCCTGTGTGACAGCACAAGCCTGAATGAAGCGTTGTATAACTAATTAGTAAACAAACAAAAGTTGTGCAAATGTGCCAGCGGGATTGTGTCTGCCAAGGATCAAATCTCTCCAAAGGAGCCTGTCTTACACCCCATGAACAATGCATGAAACGCATTGTGTCTGGTGTCCTTCAAATATGTGGCTTCTGTCGCCTGTCATTGTGTCTCCAAGCATACCACCACGTTCAGAGCAGCAACCGTACATCAGTTCAGACAGGAAACTTCATACCTTGTCTAACGAATACAAATAACTTCTCGTTACTCAGACTCGGAGCGCGTTATTCTGCAGAGATCCGCTGCATGCAGCAACTGCACTGTATTGAAGCAGGCAGACGAGGCCTGCGTATTCAGACAAGCAGTGTTATCAGTGTTCAAGCAAGGTCCGTTCGTATGGACAGTCCTCAGACTGGCGATTTTCTTTGGAACATGACGCAATACAGAGCTTGTGACGCTACACCAACATGATGTTGTGTATGGTGTGCTGCGCGTGCATCCTGCAGTGCAACTTCGATTGATGGCTCACGCAAATGCTCCTCATCGCTGCACTTTTAAATTGCTTTCTTGTTCCGAGATCCCGTTGTCATTCTTCTTATTGTAGCACAACCTTGATTAGGCGGCCTTTGCGATCACGAACAAGCCCTTGATTGCTATCTGTTCTGGGCGAGTTCTACATATTCTTCCCGTGCCGGCATTATCCTCGCCGTGTTTAAAATAGCTCTTTTGATTATCCATCATTCCATTGGACGGACTCTAGCATCCATCTACGGGCATGCGACGCCCAATACGATAAGCATCATTTCAACTGAGACAGACTTACGAGCCAATCCTGACAATCTTGCATATGATTCTTCCTCTAGTCAACAGCTGAACAAGCCAATAGTTTATAGACCACAACTAGCATTGGCCACACCCCAATATCTTTGCACATTCTTTTGAATATTGTCTACGGCGGTAAGCTCCGGATCATCAACCGCAAGCATTCTGAACACACCTCTTGATGAAGAGCCAGCATCTCACTCACCCTACCATTAGAGCAGTGAGAGGAAGCTGAGGCTGAACAACTCCATCGACTTGGTCTATATAAGCGCCCTCCCCCCCCCCCTTCGAAGATGTCTCTCCTGGATATTCCTCACGGGCAACCATCTCCTTCAAGAGTAAGCTATTCCCTCACACATACACAACATACACGCCTTAAAACTTCAGACACTTGGATCAAAGCAAAAGCTCCCACAACACCCAGCCGTCACTTCAAACATTTGCACCACGTACCCACCTCGGAACCTCAGAACTTCGACAAAGACAAACGTCAAACACTTGTCCAGCACTCAGCATTCGATTTAAGCATTTACACCAAAAAAACCTATCTTCGAAACTTCAGACATTCGGGGGAAAAAGCACCAAACCCTCGTCCAACACCAGCTTCCTTCTCCAAACATTTGCACCATATATACATACACCTCGAAACTTCACACATTTCGGGGATATTAAAGGCAATACTCAAACTACGGGTCTTCAAGTCCGAGCAGATCCTTTTGATACTTGAAACACCTTCCGGTTCAATTTTGTTCCACCATGGCAGAGCCACCAAAGCCGAGCCCATCCAAGGGACGAACCGAGACGTGGGAGGAACTATGCAAGGACATGAATCTAGCAAAGGCAAAACTTGACAGGGCACTCAAAGAAAAAGAGGAGGCGGAGGCTCACCTTAAAAGATTCGAAAAAGAGTATCGCAAAAAAACAGATGAAGAGAAGAAGGAATACGGGCGCGTGGTGGAGATGGCCCGCGCTGCCCACGAAGCGTCTCGAAGAGAGCACGAGGTGCTTTCGAGTGAGATTGCCAGTTTGGAGAAGAAAATGAATGCATGCGACCACGAAATATGCACCGTACCTCTTGAATCCGATGATATAAGTGACTAGTGTGGGAGCTAGGGTGATTAGGCATGATATTTGAGTGTGGATTTTGAAATTGCCGCTCGTTATTATTTCGAGACGGCTGTTGTTCTGGCTTCGAGCTGGTCGCAATTGTGGACTCGAGTCGGAAATTATCACTGCCCCGGGACCCTTGGAGGACGATGGTTTGGCAAGGGACAGAGGTGGAGGATATGTGAGATCAAGTCGATTCCTGTTATTGCTTTGGGACTCTTGGAGAAGGATAATTTGGGTAAAGGGAAGGGGTGGAGGACATGGGACACGGGACATGACCATTCTTTGTTTCTTTTCAGTCATTCTTTTGGGTGCTCGAATACCGAGTACCTTATCAATCAAATCACTCTCTTCTATCGAGTCTTAACAAGTCCCAATTTGGATGCCGAACTCGTCATAGTGCTCTTCTCTGTTGAGGCGATTTTTCAACTTGTAGTACGCTCTGATATATCTTGGATAGAACCCTTTTTCTCTCGCTAATACGATCACTGTCCGTTTTACGTAGCTGGCTGCCAGCTATACACTATTCGTTTTCATAACTACCAATCTCAGTCTAAAGAGGGCTCACGACGCGACGTCCCGACATCTGTGCCGTCTTTTCCCATTCTTTTTTTCCTTCAAGATCTCTCTACTATACACGACCTGACCCCCAAGTTTAGGCACAATCTCAGGCTCAGTGGTCCCAGGAGCCACGATGTCAAGGCAAATATATACAGCTCAATTATATTGGCAATTCTGCGCTCTTCGGAGATTAGACCGGGCTTTGACCTCATACGGGGTAACTGCTCGAGGCCAGCTTCGGGTTCCGAGAAATTGGTCGTGGGCCCCTCCATCTGCAGGTGCATAAACACTTACAAGTGCCAGTATGCGTGCATATCCGCTTGCGTAGATCTCGTCTCAACTCCGCCAGTAACACGATGATTTCTGCTTCTGATATGCCAAGGGCCTTCTGAGATAGTCTCGAGACCATTCTCTTTAGGTTTTTTAGTAAGTTGTGCCGCTCCCAAGCACCTACTGGCTTGAGACGCTCCTCTCGTCCGGGGACTGCATGGCATCTTGAAGATCTTCTCTGTTGCTGACTCGAAGCCGCACTCCTGGAACCACGACTTCCATCGCATGGGGTCATCTACTGGTGGGCTGTATCTCTCGCATGATTCCTTCAGCATGTCGGAAAATTTCCGAAATGCGTCTAGCTGTTCTTTGGGACAGTGTCACCTCGCACTGCAGTACACCTGTGACACAATGAAACTCTACCCACCCCCTGATCCGAGGTGTCTGCATGTATAGTGTTAGGTACACATTAGAATCTGTAAAAGTTGCAAGAACATACTCATAGCATTGCTTAATTGGACGCCGAAAGTCCCAGATAGAGAGGATGAGATCGCGAGAGAAGATGAAGTCGGCAGTTCCAGGTCCATGTTCAGTCGTCCTCGATATCGTCCATCTCAAAGCAACAATTGGACGGAATCCTAAACCAATGGGGGTCAGTCTGGTTATATTCAAGACAAAAGCAGCGTGTACTTACCAGTCTGGTTGTGTAGGTGACTTGTTCACTCCAACTACCTGCGAAGGGTCAATCCCTACAACGCCGACGGAGCGATATTGCGCCTATCTCGGCGCTGGGACAAGAATCGGCAATGTCTATGCACCATATTCCTGATTTAGCTCTCGTGACTACGCAAGCTCAAGCACAACCCAACTCGTGCGTAGTACCTGTTCCACATCCTATATCGAGAATCCTTTGGGGTGGCTTGTCTTGACCAATGGGCGATGGATGGTGCTTCTTATATACAGTAAAGCAAAGTACTTTGCGTGACAATTATCCATTCGCTCCAGCTCCTGATGATCCATTGAGAAGCCATAATCTGAAGCGAGCCAAGTACACGAGCTTCGTGGCGGGATCAACAAGCAGAATAGCAAACATTGCTTCCCGTAAACAGCGTACGTACGCCGTCCTTAGCCGATATCTCCACGTAATATATCGGTGTGCATAGACGTATAAGATGATGCAAGGGTGCCAATTTCGCTAGCCTGCCCGAGTTTAGCAAAGCTACTCACTTTCCCACTTCCCCTGGTTTGCGTAGGTTCTTATAGCACTTGTTTCGGTTAGCTGACAAGTTCACAGGGACATGAAGCTACCAGCTGATATATATAGCCGCACGTCCTTGGCGTCGCGCTATTGCTGCTGCAGGCGCGGGCTGCCGCTCGAGTTTCTGTGCTAAATAACTAAACATTGGTCCGAATGCGCCGTGATCTCACACTTCGCCCCGTGCCGCCTTCACCTGCGCATGAGCTTTACTATGTAGACTTGCCACAGCCCACCAGACTCTTCAATTTCGGTTCGCCTCGACTACAGACAGCACTGCGTGAATGACTAGGGATGAATTCACGGTCGAAAGAGCTCTGGTCGGGGCCAAGGCGTTGCGGCGGAGCTGGAGGCGTATGACGGACAATTACACAGCGCCATTCTCTGCTGAGGCGTGGCAATAAACTTTGGGCCTGAATGGAAGGGCCGTACTCGGTACAAGATTGGAACGCAATGGCTGGAGAAGGTGAGCTGCGCCGCGGCTCTGAATCTCCTGCTTCGTATAGACGCTTTCGAGAAAGCCGCTCCAGAGGCAAGCATCACAGCCACAGACCTTGCTTCCTTGTGCAACGTGCATGCGTCAGCCGTCACTAGGGCTCTCCGTGTCCTGGTCGCCAATGGCATGTTCCAAAAGACTGGCAAAGACGAGTATGCACGTAACTCGTTGTCCCACGCATTTCATCCCAACAAACTCGGCGGTTTCGTTGGCGTATCGGTGGATGTCATGGATTCTTGGATTCCAATAGGGGAGTATTACGGGGGAGCGTTCTGTGGGAAGCATATATTGCAACATCTACCCGCCATGATAGATGCCTTACAGGCAGATGATATTCCAGGAATAGAGCCGATGGTCTGCGACATATCCACCGAACCTCCAGGCAAAGTTGTAGTTGACGTTCCACAATGTTTCGGAATGCAGTCTCGGCCACGGCGCCTGATTCACGACTGATGCTTGGGACATTTTAGTTCCTGATCGGGTGGAGATGGGTGGCCCAATGACACTATACTGGCTTGACTTCTCCGTACTCGCTGCTGGTGACAACATATGAAGGAAAGGTCTCTCGACGAGATCAACAGTCTCTTAGCCGAAGCTGGCTACCCATCTCAAGGCGATTTAATTGTACGGTTATGCTGGAATCTAGAATATGGCCGTCAGAGTTGGTATAGCTTTTGAGCACCAGAATATATTACATGGATCCGCGGTGATGTGGTTATGGTGGCACATTTTTCGCTCTCCACAGAGATGTGCATCAACATCTCTTTTGTTGTGGACTTGTTCTTTTTGAAAAGGTACTGGGGATTTATTTATTTATAGGTGAAATCCTCAATGGCAATAACGTGGCTGGATGGTCATCTGTTGTGGACGGCGATGGCGCTGCGAGGTGGTCAGATTGATGGCGGCGAGTCATGGCTCGGGCTGCAGCAGCCAACCAGCTCGTGGATGATTCAATCAATCACGATGTCAACTGGTGTCTGGCGACCCGGCGCGGGGCAGCATCCATCGACTCGCGACGCATGCAAGGAAATGTCCCCATACTTTGATCACATTTGACGTTTGTCACGCCTGGTGTCCCGTTGCAACGCTGCGCTGCCCTCTGGATTTCCGTCGTCATCAATTCTGTCCAAGACGTGGAAGGAAACTAATTAACCAAGCCTTGCCGTTGTGGTGCTGACGCCCGGGTCACCAGACTTTGCGCTTCGTCACCGGCGCCCGTCTCGCTCAGCTGTGCTCACATGCATCTCGTTCCCGCATCTTGTCCATTCTCCTCCATCCTTTCAGACAACCTCGATCCATTACCCGTTGCATCAAATACCCCTGCCCGCTCTGTCGCTTCTTCGCCTCCTGACAAGACATCACCTTGATTCTCTCCACGACTCCACTTGCGCCGAGCCCAACCCCGGATTGAAGATTCCATGGTCCTACCTCTCGGCATCGGAGCCATCAAGACGTCTACCATCACCCGCCTCCACACCATATCATGGATTGAACCACCCCTGCGCAAATATTCACATCGCTGACGAGAAACGCTGGCAATGGCTGACCTTCTGGTGCAAGCACACCGCGCTTCTGGCCTCCATGCTCCTCCAGGCCCCCAAGTTGTACCCCGGAGCGAGCCAAAATTCGAAAAGCCGTCATCTCACCAAGGAACGGGGGGGCGTGGGGGGCTTCGGAAAGTCGTATCGAGAACCCTTCGAGACGCCAACAATGCATTCCTTGCCTGGAAGGATGGCCTGACTGTTGAGGAGCGCGAGCGCCTTCGGTTACGGGAGGGAACAAAGGCCTGCCTTGCCGCTCACATGAGATCCGTACGTTTTATTTCTGCCATTGGCGCCACTAGCCTTGCTTGCCTAACCCTCTAATTTGCAGGCCGAGACATACACCCAGTGGAAAGAAGCCGCCGAGGAGCTAGATATACTCGAAGGCAACGACATGTGGAAGAAGGAAACAGTGTCTGACGAATATGATTTTCTCCTCATTCAAGAGCGTCTGCGTGCGCTCGATGACGCTCGTCTCAGCAGAGATATCCGCTCCATGATGCACCTCATCCGCACAGAGTTGAGTCGAGACCTCGGAGGCATGGGCAGCGTCGACCTGTACCGCCATTCCCACGCAGGCACCAAGAAGCTGATAGAGCGCTACGTCGAGTCGGCCATCGAGACTATCGACGCCATCGTCGCCCAGAGCGCCTTGAACCACCACACCATCCACGTCAAAGATTTGCTGGACGGCATGCTGTTCTCTCGCCAGAGCTTCGGTCGCAGCGCCCTTCTGCTTTCCGGCGGGGGCACTTTTGGCATGACACACATTGGCGTGCTCAAGGCATTGTTTGAACAACAGTTACTGCCGCGTATTGTATCCGGTGCCAGCGCAGGGAGCATTGTGTGCGCCGTCTTGTGCACCAAAACCGACGAGGAGATCCCCGAGCTAATACGAGACTTTCCTTACGGTGACTTGGCTGTTTTCGAATCAGAGGACAGCAACCTCGGCTTTCTGGGTCACATGCGGCGTCTCTTGACAGAAGGCAGCTGGTCCAACATTGAGAATCTCACTCGGGTCCTGCGCGGCTTGATAGGGGACATGACGTTTCAAGAAGCCTACAATCGCACTCGCCGCATCCTCAACATTTGCGTGTCCACGGCGTCCATTTACGAACTACCACGACTGCTCAACTATGTCACAGCACCCAATGTCATGATTTGGTCCGCGGCTGCCGCGTCCTGCTCGCTCCCGCTGGTATACACGTCGTCGCCCTTGCTGGTCAAGGACCCCATCACCGGCGAGCACCACCCGTGGACGCCGACTCCCCATCGCTTCATTGACGGCTCCGTGGACAATGACTTGCCCATGACCCGCCTGGCCGAGATGTTCAACGTGAACCACTTTATTGTCTGTCAGGTCAATCCGCACGTTGTTCCGTTCTTGTCCAAGGATGATGTTCTCCCCCAAGACAACAGACCGACGGCCCCGGCCTCGAGTGCCTCGCGCTCCGACGACGTCGACTGGGCCTACGCCGCCACCACGTTGGCGAGGGACGAAGCGTTGCATCGGCTTCAGTTCATGGCCGAGCTGGGCATCTTCCCCAACCTGATGACCAAGTGCCGAACCATCCTGAGCCAGAAATACTCTGGAGACATCACCATCTTGCCCGAGATTGCCATGCACGATTTACCAAAGCTCCTGAGCAACCCCACCGTGGACTTTATGCTGCGATCGTGCGTCCTTGGCGAGCGCGCGACCTGGCCGCGCCTGAGTCGCATCCGAGACCGCTGTGCCATTGAGCTCTGCCTAGACCGTGCCGTGCACCACCTCCGCACCCGCGTCGTCTTCTCCGAGAGTCAGCGGAACCTACGGGAGCTGACGGCGGACATGGGCCAGATGCAAGTCAACATGATGCCCACGATTGCCTCGCAGTCGCCCACGCCGGGTGCCGGACATTCCGCGGCGGGCGGCGGCACACCAGAGCCGTCGTCGCGCAGACGCCGCCGGTCGGGGGGCAGCGTCCAGACCATGCCCGGTTTCCGGGCCGCCCTGGACATCGGCGTCACGGATGACGATACGGCAGCCGAGGAGCGCCGTGAGCTCTTGTCGCGGGCACAGGGCGCCCACCGCAAACCGCGCCTCAAGAGGTCCAGCAAAAGTCAAATCAGCGTGCCCCAGCACAAGGGGCCTGCACACCTCGAGGCTCATGCCGTTGCCGACTTTAACTTTTCGAGGCCCATGCGCAAATCAGCCGGCGTGAGCAGATATCTGGAATCGCCCGCCACGTGGTCTGAACGCATGGGCGGGCTGTCACGGGGAGAAGCAACCTCGCCGACGGACGATGTCGAAAC